TGCACGTGTTGGCCAACCATATTTCAATAGTTCAGAGACTTACATTGTGCTTTCAAAATGTCGTGTTTGTACAAAAAACAAAATGAAAATATTTCTTTGGACACAACTGCATTTAACTGCACATTCCTTAAATCTTGCTTCATTTGGATCAATATTTTAGATTTATTTCTGGACATTTAAAAAGGAATTTGGTCTCTCCTTTAATTCAACCTGCAATTGACTATAAACCAAAAGAAACTATGAGGTGGCACTTATTTGTCTACTGCTCAGTGAGATTTCCTGCCTCCAAGGCCTTGAAGGAATAAACACCCAAGTCATCCCATCTATAGCATCCATAGCAGCTCAAGCCAAGCACCGAGTGTTTCTACCATTCTCATACTGAATTTGTTGACTTAGGAGTGCTAAATAATCAAGTTTTTTGGCATTGATGCTTTCTGAATCAGTTTTAACAATGTAACCACCCTTTTATTATTATTGTCTTCTGTCTCTATTTGTGTGGCTGGAGATGGAGACATATTTATGACTACAATAATATACAGTGCAATTAGAAAATTATAAATTAGAAGTATGTAACTCATGATTGGTTTTAATAAGAGTACAAGAAATTTATCTACTAAAGACAGAAGCTGGCTTTAAAGATTATTCAGGCATTCATTTTTATTCACATTTTTACTATAGTGGCTTTTACTGTCCTTTGGTTTTAGCACAAAATTCATACAAATTCTAAAAACAATAAGAAATTACCAACACAGCAACTAAACATTGAACGAGGACAAAGCTCTCACTCCAGGAGGGTGGGCTGTAGAAGCAGCAGCCTGGGAAAGAGTGAGTAGTAAATTCAATAAAGATTTCCTCCTGTCTCAAAATTGATTTTTTCAGGGCTCGGCTGAGAGTAGATACTCTTATGACAGCACTATTGTGTCAAGTAAATATAGTTTCTGGAACCCAGGAAGCTTTTGGTCTTTGGCCTTTACTAAAATAAAAAGGGAGTCACCAAACCAAGCCACTTGCTCCTGGGTCACACCTGTATCAGCAGCAGGCACATGGATGGCCCTAGCCTGCCAGGAAGGCCATGTCTGCTTTGACAGGCAGCACAGGCCTGTTCCAGATAATCGCAATTTCTAGCAAGTAGTGGCAATGTTCATGCATTTGTGATATATGCAACATGAATATATTCTAACTATAGAAAATATTTATATGTAGTTTAGCTATGCACAGGGCTTTATGACTTGGAAGTGAAGTGTCTCTCAAAAGGCTCATGTTGAAAGCTTGGGTCTCCAGCTGTTGATCCCATCAGCAGAGATGACTAGACCAATGAAGGCTGTGATTTTATGAATGGATTACTTTTCTGGTGGACTCATAGCTTGAGGGCACTGTTGGGAGTTGGTGAGCAAAGTGACATGCTTAGAAGCAGTAGGTTTTCTGGAGTATGACTCTGAATTAATAGAATCTTGTCTCTGGATCCTTCTAATGCCTTCACTGCTTCTCAGTAGCCACAGGTGAGTGTGTCTGCTCTACCACACTCTTCTCCATAATGTTTGGTTTCATCACAGACCCACATGAATTGCAATGTCCAAAATGGTAAACCCCAAATAAATCTTATCCTTTAGAATAGCTTCTAAGAAAAATTATATTATAAAAAGTCATAAAATAATTACCATATTCAATACTCTCATTCAATAAATACATATTGGTACCTCATTAGATCTTTAGTTGACATTTACCTAATGATGTAACATTAAGATTATATTCCTCATCATGTTTGGAGTCTACTATTTGGTGAATGCATGATTAAATATTTTGCCCATATTAAAGTTTTTATATTTTTTTGGCTTTGAGAATTGTTCTTATGTATTCTAAAGAGAAATTTGGTTTACAAATGTTTTCCTCATCTGCATCTTGTTTTTCATTCTTGCAGCAGTGTTTTTGATGATCCAGATGTTCTGAGTTTTGATGAAGTTCAGTTTTAAATTGGGCTGATTTTGCTTGATTGATTTTTTTCATCTCATGATGGATAGTAGTTTGCTCCTTTGCATGACTAATAATTGTGTATTAATTTCTAGGGATTATATGACTTACTTACACTCACATGTGGAATATGTTTCCATTTTAAGTCTCTCTGGGATTTTTTTTGAATCATTTAAGAAACTCTGGGGATAATTTGGAGTCTCGGCTTTTAAACTTTGTCATTAGAGCCAAGGAACTTTTTCATCTAGAGATAACTTGACTTAGTTCTGAGGCAGACACTTCTATGATCTCTCTGTGTACTCTCTAAATTGCCTTTCATATGGAATAGGGCGACTTTCTTCTTAATACTTCCATATGGTTCCTTTCTGTATGGTGGATAGCCCCCTTGCCAGGTTTTCTACTTGGCTGAAGTACCTTATATCTTCAGCTCTGTTCTTTTCTGTGTCATGTCTGATGAATTCTAACAATTTTGCCTCCCTAGAATTCCATTTTCATTCTGCTCAAACAAGGGAGATCTGGGCTCTTCCTGGTCTTCTCTTTAATTAGGACACATGTTTTCCCTGGGATTGTTGATGTCCTATATCTTTAAAACAAATTTTATATAATACATATACATAAAAAACATTTCTTTCTTTTTGCTGTTTAGGCATAAATACCTATAATATCTGATTTAATAATATTATTTGTATACTATCTTGCCTAATTTATTTATAATAAATTTAAGTGATATATTTCAATAGCAAGTATTTTATACAAAATAAATGAATAAATGTTGCCATGGTATGCACTACAGTACTATAAGTCTCTTCTATGGCTTCAAAAATATTAAAGTCTTTTGTAAGTATATATGATAGGAAATGTTATTTTAAGTATATATATTGGAATGTTGTTTCACATATAGTTTCCATGTTTCTAGGAATATAATTATTTATTAATATGAGGCCTATTGAAAGAACTACCACCATATGGATCCTAAATATTGAAAAACACTTCTAGAAAACAAATCTACTAATTCTAAATGTTGGATGTGACAAACTCTGTGTTCTTATGCGATCAATTTTCCTTATTACATGAATATAAAAATCTTTTAGCAAAGAGCTTTCCAATGCCAGAGCACCTGGTGTGTATAATGTAAATGAGCAGTAGATCCTTCTAAGAGTTCCAGGCTTGTAGCTTTTAAAACAGTTTGTTAGGGTCTGAGGAGTCTGCTATTTATAGAATTCCCTCTTTTTTTTTTTTTTTTTACTATTTCTTAAATTCAGTGCACCTTACAAACACCGTCTTTCCATGCATGTGCTAGGATATATGGAAAAGGTTGGGAACACTGCTTTAGTTACACATTTTCTTGTTGTTTGTTTTATCTCCTGTATTGCCATGCTTGGTTTATAAAATTCTCTTGCTCTTTTTACTTGAAAGGATGGCTAGGTTGCTTAGAATAGAAATTTAGACAATGAGAAAGAGAAAATAAGGCTTTCTGTAACTCTGTGTATTTTATCCCCTCAGGGAGATGTTATTGTTAAATGAAATTTTATTGTCATAGCTTGATTAATAGACAAGTTAATGTAGTGATAGGGTTAAAATATACACACAACGAGTATCAATACCTAGCATATATATTTTCAAACTGAACTTCATGTTTTAAAACAAATCTTAGAGTTGATTTTATCATGGCTTTTTCAAATATACAAGTGAATGCCTAAGTTTTATTACAACTTACACATTTGGGGATGTAGCTTTTCCCTAGCATCAGCCTCTGGCATCCACATCCAAATGTGTGAACACAAACATAATTACACACACATACCAGTTCTACTCTGCATCTATCTTTCCTGTAATACATATTATCATTTCCTTTACACATACCTAAATAGGATAATAAATTGAGATGTTGCCTGTGTGTGAAAGTTGGAATGAATGTCTGAGAGCACTTGATCCTTTGGCAGTGGATCATGATGTGAGGACATTCTGAATGGGGTATAAGTATATTATACTATACTATAAGTAGTATAGTCCGAATTTTCTCTCTAGTTCAGAAATTAGTTTAGTGGGTTTTTAATTTGATAGTCTGAGTGCTTGGACAATGCAAAATGTCCTTACACTCCAAAGGACTTTAATGGCAAGGAGAAGATGTTCTTTGAGAAATCAGCACATCGTGTCAAATTTCTCTTATCAAATATAGTTATTCTACAGTTCTTTTAAAGCTATCTTTTTTTTTGTTTTGTTTTTTAAAAAGAATTGTTTATTTACTGAACCTGGGGCATATTAGATACACAAGCAATTTTAAATTTACATCTTTTAATTCAATTCTGAAGTGTTTTCACACACACACACACACAAAAAAAAAAAAAATTGGCATGCAACAGCTGCCCTATGGTGAAAGAGTCACCTTACCAGCAGACTGTTGCAAGGATAGTCATCCAGGGTTGAATTTTTTTTTGCCCTGAACATGAAAACCTATAACAAATTTAAATTAATTTTACAAAAGTTGTAACTTGTAGTTTTCCCCTTGCAAGATCCAAAAAGGAAAATAAAATATCCAGGTAGCTATCAGACATCAGTCACCACATAATCCTGGATGGCCCACACCCAAAGCAGAGCGACTTTCACTAAACCCATCATCAGAGAGATTTTCTATAAACAAAACTGACATGTGCCAAAAACAGAAAGAAACCAGAGGATAAACAGAACCCTAGTGCTGACACTGAAGACCAGGACTCCAAGGCCACTGACAAAAAGGCCGACAGTGGCTGCCTATCACTGCAAGCCATCCAAGAGGCTTAACCCTTTGGCATGAGAAACGCAGGCTCCCCTCGAGCACATGCGCTCTTCCCAAGCGCCGATAATGGGCAGAGTGTACAGCACAGGAGAGAGAGCAGTCTGCCCCACGCCCAGACACTGGCTTCAACAGACTCCTAAGCTGTCGGCTGCTTGTGTCAAGTCGAATAGAGGTGATTCAGTTCTAACCTTCAATATAAAACTTTGGGGGGAAGTGTTGGGATGAGTCTAGTTTAAAGCAAACTCAAGAAAGTCCGTGTGCCCACACGGTAACTTACCCCAGTCAGGTCGCTCTGCCCTGCGGCTGGTCAGAAGGGTCAAGATTCAGTCTACTGTTGCTGTAAGGACTCAACAAAATGAACCTCTGGTAATGAACACAGATGAGGGACTCCTGAGAAGGCAGTCAGACTGTGGGCTGCTTCCTGAACAAACTGCATTTTATTATGAAAACTGAAGGTGAAAACATAATAAAGACCATAGTCCCATACAGCATTAACAGCCTCTGAACTCTTGGAAGGATCTGCATAATGGAGCAGCATTCAAGTAAGAACTACAGGCCAATCAATGTCAAATTTTCACTCTAACTTCCCTAAACAGGTTTTCCCCAACACCCATTAATCACAAAGAAACGTAAGTCATGAACATTCAGAAAATAAAAATGTATAAACTAATGACATTATTATGACCAAGGTGTTTGGTAAACAAGTTGATTGTGAATTTGGGATCAACAGGAAAAGGCCTTTAAAACAACCCTCCAGACTTCAAAAAATCTCTTCAGGTAGTAGATCTGCCCCAATGTCATGGCAACTAGAACAAGAGCTTCGAAGAAGGACCAAAGGACCACTCTGCTGTTTGTGTTGTCGTTGATGGCTCTGTGTATTCTCTCCCGGACTTCCATGTACTCCTGTTCGTGCTTCACAGCCGTCATGGCCACTACCAGCTCGTTAATCATTTCTTCTAGCTTGTTTTGATGAGCTCCTGTCTCCATGTCTTGTCCTTTGGGAGCCTCCCCAATGGCAATGGTGAACATGACTATCTTTGGAGTCATGGCAGACATCCTATTACTAAAGCAGAACTTGTATGTCCCATCCATGTGGGCTGCAAACGTGTACTTCCCGCAGGACTCTCGGTCTCCTTTATAGATGCCTATGTTATCTGGTCCTGTGATCTCGACGTCAATGTCCAGGAAGCCGCCCTCCGCCACCTCGAAGATGAGGCCCATCTTGGTGCCCGAGGTGACCTGCTCGAAGAAGCACTCCTCGGCATGCGCGTCGATGCTGACAAAGTAGCCCGAGGCCATGGCCAGCAGCGCGTCCAGCAGCACCAACAGCTCTGCGAGCTTCACCATGGTGCAGCTCCGGCCGGAGCCCGGACGCAGACTGCAGCCTCCAGAGCCGCTGCCACCTCTGCAGCCTCAGCCGCTGCCTGCTATCTTTTTTTTTTTTTTTTTTTTTTGCTTGGAATTTAGTCTTATTCTCTTTTTTACGCATTGAATTTCTTCTTGGGCAACTTAATATATGCATATAATGTATTCTGTTTGTTCCAATCCCTGGCAGTCCCACGTTTTCCCTACAGAACTCATTTCCACATTCATGTCTTTTTGTTTTATTTTGTGACTGAATTTAACTAGGGCCAGATGTGTGACCACAGGTTTGATGTTTCCACTGGATTTGGGAGTGCTTATCTAAGGGCACACACCGGAAGACAGTCACTTCCCGCTCCTAGAATCTGCCAGTTTGCCAGTAGCTCAGCATCAAGGTTTGCAGCCCCAGGAGGCCTTCCCTCGTCCATGTGATGCTGACAGGGCCAGCCTTGGGCAGGCCCATTGCAGATCACTAATGCTGCCGTAGTTTGTGGTTGCAGCGGCTGGTGCTGTGCCTTGATGGCACTTTACAGCCTTCTCACTTTCTTCTGGCTCTTGTATTCTTTCAGCTTTCTCCTCGCCAGTGTTCCTATAGACTTAGAGGGGTAGTATTAATATATTCTTTAGAACTGAGCTCTCAAATATTTATATTTCTGTTTCAATTACATTTTTTCTTATGACTCATTATTTTCTCCAACCATGTGCTGTTTATCGAGAAATCCCACGAATTAGACAAAGTCCTCTGTTTTACACGAGCACTGTCATGTAATGGCTTCTGTTTCATAGAAAAAAATGTTAATAAAATTATCTCTGAACATGGCTTTTAACCAGCTCATCAAAGGGGTCATATTAACTATAGTGAACTATTGAAGTCAGTTTGAGGGTGTTGCTTTGCATTTTATTTCATTCCATTCCATTACATGCAAACTGATTCACAATTCACTTTGAGCTACATATAAATAGATGGACAGGTTAAGTTGTATAAGTTCTTCTAACACTTATTTAATTTTGTGACAAAGCAGAAGATATTCATTGAATAAAAATGAAAAATGGTTTAACATTTTTATTCATCAAAAGATGTATTTTTGCATGAACTAGTTGTCTAGAATTATTCCAAATGACTTTAACCATTTGAGATTAAGAATTAACCAGGCTTACATGGATTTCAAATCCAATGCTAAAGAAGGATAAATGGCTTTTAAATCACCATTTGGTCACCATCAAATTAATAGTACTTTTAGGTAATAATTACTTTTGGGAGGAAAAAAAATAATGGGTGGAAACTTTAGCAGAGACATATATTTTGATGTAATTGCAAAATGTTTGGCATAGGATACTTCTGTATTAGAAAATAAAAAGTAATACAACAGATAAGAAATTTAGCAAACACTACCTAAAATAAGTGCTAGATTATAATATTACTGTTAAAGGAACAAAATAGCTTTTACTTATTAACTCATTAAATCATACATTATTAGGCAGGGTCCTCTAGTGGAAGAGAACTTCTGGGCTACATATATATTATAAATGGAGAATCATTAGGTCTCAGTAGACCAGCACACTGGAGAGGCTGAAATACAGTAGCTATTGCGTACAAATGCTGGATAGCTCATCAGTTTCAAAGCCATTCTGAAGAATGAGAGACTTATGGAGAGGCACTTGTTTTCAGTCTACTTTGGAAGGCCAAGGAATCTGGAGCTTGGTGTCAGCTGTAGATGGGAGTATGTCAGCAGTGATGGAGGTGTTCACCAAGCAAGGGGCTAGGGCAGGCAGGCAGTAGTATTTTCCCTTGGACCTCTTTTTATTTAGGATGCCTGTTGGAATGTGCTACTCAACTCTGAGGGAGAGTCTTCCCTCCTCTGTTAATTCTTCCTGGAAATGCCACCATACTTACACAAAAGTATGTCACCTAGCTGATTCCAGAACACATCCAGTTGACAATCAATATTATAACAAGGCATCACTTGTCAATCTGAGAGCCAGGTCTTCTTATGTTGTACTTAATTTCTATGTAAAGCTAATTATAATGTGGTAATTCCACCTAATATGATATAATTCTCCTATAGACAATTGAAAAGTCAGTAGTTCTTTCTCAAGAACAGGTCAGAAAGGCCCTTGAGAAAGGCTTATTCTTTTAATATTCTATGACTCAGATATGATAATATAAAATTGAATAGCACATAATTTCTAGCAATAACCAAATAGTGTTACATTGTATAGTACAGGAATAAAAGAGGAAAGAAAGCACAAATATCTGTTTAATATGTATGGACAGATGCACAAATATATTCCTAATTTATATTTCTTATTTTTTGAGAATTTATGTATTTATTTGAAAATTTGCTATATTTATATCATTTCCACCTCTCACCTCTCTCCAACTTGTGATGTCTTCCTCTCTAATTATTGTTTTTCTATACACACACACACACACACACACACACACACACACACACACACACACCCTATTGTGTCCAGTTATATATGTCCATATGTTGAAGGCTGACAAGTAGTATGGGAAAATCTGTCAGTAGACTTGTCCCTGAAGACAACTGCTTCCCCTTTTGTGGGCAGCTGTTGATTCTTTATAGCTCTTCATCCAGATGTGGGGCCTTGTAAAATTTCCCAGTGTTGTGACTCATACCTGTAATTCCAACAATTGGGAGGCTGAAGGAGAAGGTTCAGTAGCTAAAGTCCAGTATCAGCCACAAAGCACAACAAAGACAATCCTGAGGTAAATTAGACTATGGCTTAAAAAAAACCAAAAGTCGCAAAATCCAGCTGAAACAGAAAACAAACATATTCTTAGAAAAAAATAAAAAAGACAGGAGTACCCATGGCATCACATAACCAATTTCTGTAACTTGTCCTGTTTCCTTAGCTGGTATTCGCAACCACCTTCTACTCCCAGTTCTGTGTCTCTGTCTTCTTAAGCAGACACCTCAGCAGGCCTTGGTTCTTTGGAAGGACAACTCATACCTGCATCTCTGAAATGTCTAGGTCATTTGTCCCCTGCCTGGATTGGGTAGCTGGAATTTCTCATTGACTTTAATTATAGGATTTGTAATACTAAGAGATTCCCTAAGCAAAGCATTTCCTACACTGCAAACATACTCTTCCTTACTTCTAAGGAGAAACAATCCAAATTTCCCCTGGCAGTTTGGATGCACCACCCCTTATAAAACTCCCATTCCTTTATTAGCCTGTGGATTCAAGAGTTTCAAGAGTGCAGTGATGAAGAGGAAACCCCAACTTTAGGTCGATGAGTCACCTAACAGAAGCACTCTTCCTACTCTAGAACTAAGACTTCCAAGTTAGCAAATCATAAAGTCAAGGGAACATGAAACAAAAGTTTTGCTAGTGGATCATTAGTAGTGGTGTTGGTTGTGGGTGCTAATCCTGAATCTATGAATTCTGGGAATAAGAAAAACAGTAGCACACACTGGACACTGTTTCAGGGCATATATGGCATTCTGACTAGAATGGCCATAATTCTTCAAGCTCTTGATACCTGGTTGGTACTGTGAATGAGTCTTTATTTATCTATTTATTTATATATTTTAAATTGTGTGTGTGTGTGTGTGTGTGTGTGTGTGTGTGTGTGTGTGTGTGTGTGTTTGTGTATACCATGGAATGTATGTGGGGATCAGAAGACAATTTACAGGAGTTGGTTCTCTCCTTTTATCATGTGGGCTCCAGATATTGAAATATGTTATAACTCAGCATCGGATACCTCCTCATTGAACCATCTTGCCTGCCTCACAATTATATTAAAAAATTCATCATTCTATTAAGCCAGTTGATCAGGACGTATGGAAACATGTATGCAAAATGACTTCTTTATTTAGATACAATGCACTGTCTAGTAACACCATGATAGTATATAAAGATAATTGTAGCAGAAGCATTAAGTGCTTGAGAGTCAAGTTTATAACCAAAATAAAACTTATATCAGTAAGGATAATGTTCTGTCCTTCCCATAATGGAAGCTGTCAAATATTGTTATTTTTGACATCAGTTCACTGGCTGGCCATCCCGGGAAATGATGCCATATCAGGGTTTCAGTGTTGGTCTCCGGTGCTGAAAGACTTGGCTTTAGTAGCAGCCATAGCCATCTCAGCCTTCATGAGAAGAAATGCATATTTTTGAATCACACCTAACTCCATACTTGGCTCCACTTTTGACCATGTTATTTATGAACCCATTGAATGGGTTCAAGTTCAAGCACATGGATGGCCAGATAAAGAGACTCACTACTCTTAACTTCACTATTAAAGTCCTCTTTTGCTGAGGTTGCCTTTGGTAACCAATTTCAGGGGACACAAGCATCTCCACATTCTTTGACTATTTGGATAGGTATGTGCATTTTTCTCTTCCAGATTTATAATTATGCTCCATCTAAGCCTCTAAGCAGGCAGCCAAACCATTGGTTATAGCCCATGAATCAGTGTGTAATTGTGCACATGCCAACTTTTACTTCTAGAGAAAATGTACAACCACATAAACTGTCTTTAGTTCTGCTCCATGTAAATATTTCTTTTTTACCATTTCCTTTCTGGCTTGTTCCAGGAAGGATTTCTGATGTCATATAGATGTTGGGTGGTGGTAGCATGCAGGTAACTCCATAAACAAGGGCTTCATTTTCTCTTCCTCACAAAACGTTCATAAGATATATGCGGCCCATGAGTCCACAGGTACATGCTTGGTGATAACAGCCTTTATAACAAGGGCAGGGAATATTTAGCTAATTTTGACTTAACTTGCTACTGTTTTTAGAATATGTTTAGCCTGATTATGTATATACTACCTCCATTAGGTTGTGAATTGATGCTATACAGGTCCAACTTCATCATTTAATATTGCTAAATAACATCCAGTTCATGATGGGCAGTTCAGATTACATGGTAACTTAGTGGCTCATTACTAAATGTTCAATTTACACTAAGTCTAACTAATAGGTCAAAAGTTGCCTCTCAAAGGGAGAGTGATTATCTGCAGATGACAGAGCCTTTCTCCAAAATTCCTATGGCTTCATAATAATTTGCTTATGGGCTCTTCTCAA